CCATTTCCTAAAGATACTGAGGTCAACCAGATGTTTCCCAGTATTCCATTGCATTGCCTGCATCTTCTAGAATCTTAGGTGTAAGCAGTGACTCTGAGCTGCCCACATTCCCCAGGCCTTCCCCAAATAAGGTTTTTCTGCCTGGATGAGCAGAGACTGGAGGATGTGCTGTATGGGTGAGAATCTCTGAGCCCAGCCGTGGAAGCAAAGTTCTGGGCCTCCGGCTGTGCTGAACTGTGGGGGTCAGTACCAGAGGGCAGGAGAGGGGGGTGTGAGGTTTTGCAAGGAGGTTGGGCCCTGGAAACCACAGCCTCTCAGCTCAACTTTTCCCCAGGAACCTGCCACGGTCAGTCCAAGTGACCAACTGTGCACTTGTGTCAAAGAGAAGACTTCCGCATGGCTGGTCCAGCCTTGAGAGATTCCTCATCAGATAAATACTTAACCAGTCCTTGCACCGTGGCTCTCTCATCCTCCAAGCAGAGACATAGGAATCTATATCCTCTGCCAGTCACCCAAGTAAAGGACTATCACTATGTTATCGTGCTTTCATTCAAGTAAAAGACAATGACTCGCCATTCATACCTTCAAGTGAAGGACTGTGACTGTCATTCATTGCCTAAACAAACACTGATAGAGTGACATCTTCCAGATAACACTCTTCTCCCTGGGATATCACAGTGATTAAAAAGAAGATTTCAACCTTTGCCAACATGCAACTTCCATTCTAAAGTGGACAGAAACAATCAACGAACAAAGCAGCCTCCTGTGTCAGAAGGTGTTCACGCCCTGAAGGGAACCACGCAGGAGACAGGAGCAGATGGAGAGGCAGCAAACGCCTCTTTGGAATGGGGCCGTGTGAACACTAAATGTCCTTATACAAACATCTGGTACTGGAAACCAGAAAGCCACCGAAACAGAGAGGGGCAAAGACATGGCAGTGGGAATACGAATGGCATGAGGAGGAGCTGGGAAGGGGGCCAGTGTGCCTGGAACCTTGGAGGGAAGCGGAAGGGAATAGGACATGGGGGCAGAGGACACCAGGGGTCGGCCACACAGGGTTGGAGCAGGCCTCCCAGCTGTCAGCTGTTCAGCGTTCATTCTTAGTCTCCACAAAGCTTCCAAGGGTCGCATCTCTGAACTGCCTGGGTCTGCCATTCAAGAGCACAGCTTTGACAAGGGGCAGGGTTGACTGATGGCTTATTCCCACAATGCACAGTGGTGTGCAGATGGGGAAAATATATTGACTGCCTCCAACGGATGCTACTTTTCCAACTGGGAGGATGGTTACAACTGTGAAGCCCCCAACTCATGATCCTATTGCTCCTGCAAATAGTGGCACCCCACACTCCCCTAATTATCTCAAAGCAACTTTAAACAACCTTGGGCAGACACAGATCAGAGACCTCAAGAAAGACACAGCTCAAACGAAAAGGTCCTCCCAAAAGTGACCAGAAAATGTATCTCATTGAGGGGGGAAAGTATGCATGGATTCCAACATTCTTGGCACCAAAATACACGCATGTTTTCATCCCATTTTCCAATTATGGAGAGCCCTGGTACTTCACAATCGCAACAAAAAACAAACCCACAGGTTTAAGATGCCGTATTCCCTGCTTTCCCAAGGCTTTCCAAACTTTCGTGGCAAAGTGATGTCACTAAAATGCAGCTCTTCACCCCCCAGGGGAAACAAAGCCGGAGATTCTACAGCTCCCACAGGCCTCCAACGTGTTGCGGATGCCCTTGGCCTCTGGACCATGCTTTGGGCAGCCAAGCACTGAGGCTTCTTGGTGTTTCTGTGTATACCCCTTAATAAGCTGCAAAAGCTTATGCCACTATGCTACAATGGGTGGCTTGTTGATTTAACGAAGGACACAATCACAGTCCCTCTCACTCTGAATGCTTATCCAGAGTCCTGTTTAAAGTTCTGCCCAAATGGCACGATTTTGTGGCAACCGATACAGGCCATTTGGGAGAGCAGCGTGTCCATTGTAAGCTGTGGGAGTTGCGGCTCGTTATGAAATGGCTTTTAAATCGAAGTGTCACCACGGAGAGCGGTTTCTGGGCCAGGGAACCATTCCCATCTCTGAAAAGCAGAAGTGGAGAGTTCCAATTTGAAAGATGCAGGGAGTCATTTCTTGAAACAGAAGTGGCTCACAGATCCATAGCTTTCCTGCTCAGAGAAGGAATGACAACCATGCCTGAGTGATGAAAGGTACTATGGGGCAAATCGAGACAGTATCTGGAGTCAGTGGTTGGGGACTGGCTTGCTTGTGAAACAGGGAGCAGTCACACAGAGAATGGTGAGCATAAACAAGTGCCTTTGATGCCTGAAGTTCCAGGGTTACAAACAAGGCTCTGAGAAGATGGTGTTTAAATGATGAAAGCCAGCGATAAGATCAAGTTTGGATCCAGCAGTCATCAGTGAAGGTTGGATGAACAGCAATGGCACTCAAGACCATCGACAGAGTCCAGGGATTCTCAAACTCATGTTAAAATTACATGGGAAGCTTTGAAACACCATCCCTGCCCTCTCCTCCCATGCTCTGGCAACACTCTTTTTCAATCTCTGGATGTGGGGCCCAGGTGACTGCCATGTGTGGCCATACTTAAAACCAGGGGCACGCAATGTGTTCACCCATGCGAGGAAGGAACTCCCCTAGACCAGGGAATCCTTCGTTCTGACTGCCTGCTAGAATCACCTCCAGGAAAGCCTTCCAAACATGGATGCCAACCCCTTCCCTAGGAATCCCAAAGCCTTGCCTCCCAACCAGGTACTTCTAAAGTACAACCAGGAAAATGGGCATGGTTGCAGATGTTTTCCCTAGGTTGCCTCTAGTCTTTGGTTCTAAGAAATGAAAAAGTCTGGGACCAGTTCAATTTCCTAGTGGCTAAATCCTTGCCTTGTGTGCACTGGAATCCCATATGGGCACAGGTTCATGTTCTAGCTGCTCCATCTCCCATCCAGCTCCCTGCCTGCTGCCTGGGAAAGCAGTTGAGGATGGTCCAACGCCTTGGAACCCTGCACCCATGTGAGAGACCTGGAAGAAGTTCCTGGCTCTTGGCTTCAGATTGGCTGAGTTTGCGCCTTTGCGACCACTTGGGGGAGTGAATATGCAGAGGGAAGATCTTCCTTTCTGAGTCTCCTTTTCTGTGGGAATGTGGCTTTTAAGAAAATTGAACAAATCTGACAGAGAGAGAGAGAGAAAGAAAGAAAGAAAGAAAGAAAGAAAGAAAGAAAGAAAGAAAGAAAGAAAGAAAGAAAGGAAGAAAGGAAGGAAGAAAGAAAGGAAGGAAGAAAAAGAAAAAGAGAGAGAGGAAGAAAAGGCTGAAAATGCATCTTGGAATGCAAAAGTGAATCATTATTTTTGTCTTTACATCAGAGAATTCTAACTTTGGAAGGATCTACCAGTTCCCCCTCAGATTCTGCACAAGCTGCTTAATAACAAGGTGTGTTCATAGGTAAAGGTGCAGTCTCAAGGAAGAATGCCCTTAGCTTTTATCAGATCCTATTTTAAAGACAACTGTGACTTGATAAATTTAAGAAAAGTGGAGGATGCACAGGTTATTAGCGTCTTGGCAGCAGCTATGGTATGGTTTCTTACTTGGAGCTCACCACCGCCACCCTCTGGTTGGATACACTTATTACAGGGTTAGCACAGATTCTGTGGCTCATTGCCCAAAAACGGTAGAGACGGATGTGAAGACTTGAGATGTAGGCATCAAAGTAAAAGCTCTGTCTGGGAATGGGATCAAAATGTCCGGTAATGCTCACAATGATATGAAACTTCCTGAACTGTACCCACAAGGATACTATTTATGCAGATATTTTTAGTTTGTTACAGTTTTCTAGACTGTTGACTCTGCCTCAGTTGGTATCATGATTTTTCTCTCTTAAACTGTAAGATCTTAGAACAAGTGTTGAATCTTTCTCTCATCAAATTGGTATAAATTTAAATATATTAAGATTGTTATGGAAAAATAAGAAAATCCAAGTAAAATACTTGATATGAAACTTGTCACATTGCATCATCCTAATAACTTAGCTAAGTCCTGTTATTACTGAAGCTTTCATTATTATTAACATCTTCATGACCCATGACCTTGCTCAAGTTATCATGTTTCCTCAAACTTTGTTTACTGGTCTACCCTGCCTGCCCAGGGTTCTTATGGTGAGGATCAAGTTGAAAAGCAGTAGGTGTGGTTAGCTCTCCATAGCCACAGATCCCACACTCAACCATGAGATTAAGCCAACCACTGTTTTCCATCCAATGAGGTTTAAACAACCACAGACTAAGCGCAATCTCCAAAGCATTGTGTCGGCACTGCTCACACCCAGATCTTTCGTTCTTGTCATTACTCTCTTAACAACCATGTCTAACAACTGTGCATACAGCATTTACATAATACGAGGCGTTATAAGCAGACATAAAGCTATTTCTAACCAGAGAGGATTGAACATGCACAAGATGGGGGGGGGGGGTCCTATGCAAACTCCATGGCAATTATTATCAGAGTCTTAAGCATCCTTGAATTTTATATTCCTAGGCATCCCAGAAGCAATCCCCTTAGGTAACAGGGTATGATGACTGCAACCCATCATGAATCAAGGGAATCTCAGCAGCCGGGAAAGGATCACCCTAAAACACAAACTCCTCCTATCATAGAATGTATTCTTGGAAGTTCCAAGAGTTGAACAGGCTCTGTATCTGGTTTCTCATCACACATCTGTTGTCCCAGGCATCCCAAACCTTCTGATGACACGGCCCAACACATGAGGTAAACACATGAGCCGAGAGAACTATGCCACCCAGCCACGAAATTAACACAGAAGCCCCAGACCATCAGCTCTCATCTGGACACTCACAGGCATTCGCAGCCTGTTTCACAAGCCTGCCTGTCCATCCAGGACTCACCCGCAGCACGGCACTCCCAGGAACAAAAGCACGGCTGGCACCTTCCACAGCCTCCGTGAAGGCTCGAGGCACTTGGCCCTCACTTACCTGGAGTCTGCTTGGCCGTGCGCACGGGGGTGTAGTGGTTTTTGGAGGATGATCGGACCGGCGTGTTCTCTTTGGGAGAGGTATCGATAGCCGAGATCGCTTCTCTTTCACAGTGTGCTATGGGGATGGGTCCCTGTTGTCTTAAGATGTCAGCCAGAGCCCTAAACAAGGGGAAAATCAACACAATGAGATCCACTGAGCAGGTACACGCAGCCACAGAGGGGACTGGCTGGCTCCCACAGGCCTGTGGGAAGGAACAGAGATGCAGCATTCGGCTCTCACGCGTAACAGCTTCATCTGGAGATAGTTCCCTGCGGAAGGCAGGGGAGAGGCTGCGGTGCCTGGGAGCGTATGCACTAAAAGCCTGTGACCACAGTGTCTTTCTTTAATGCATTTCACATCCATGAACTCTTAGCCCTTTCAAAATACTGGTCCCCAAATGCCTACCTCAAGGTTAGGACTCACTTTCTCCAGCAGCTGGCCAGTGGAAGGCTACTACACTGAAGGGATGCCACCACCGTGACCTCAAAACTCCGGGACAAGCTATTTAATGTTGAAGGGGAGGGAACCAATCTCCCCATCCCAAAGTAAGCATGTGCTAGACTCTGGTGACCCCAATAAGACACAGTTGGTGCTGTCAGAGAGAGGCAAGATTCAGTTATGAAGGCAGAATGTACACTAAGATAAATATCAAGATACAAGAAAGGTGCAGACCAGTGGAATTTACAGAAGGGAACAATCGCAAGTGCAAAGAGGACGACAGAAAGCAGGAGGAGGAAGACTGTTTTCTGCCCACCCCCAGCAGCTCTGGGAGCCTGTGGCAGCTGGAGGGACCTGGCTAGCTTTTCAGGAGACCCAGCCACCCAGGGAGCCAAGCACACATTTAGGGAGCACTCAACTTGCATCTGTCACTGTGGAGGCAAGGATAAATAAGGTCCAAACCCCGCTCCTTAGGGCTACACAGTTTAGGGGGGATCCCTGTACCATGTGCTTTCCCAGGGGTCCCCTTTGTGGCTGCAACATGTGGGACATCCAAGATCAAAGGAAAATAGAGCCATACAAGGAGGCTTCAGAGGGAGCAGAGAAGGAGTTAAACCACCAGGGAATATACTTAGATACTGTCTACACAAGCGCAACATGGATGATTCTAGCTTCCCAGATAACCTCTGCAGGGTGGGGTGGACAAGCTTGGTGTCCCCAGACCCTTCCCAGCCAGTCCCGCCTATCAGCCCCTGTGCTCCTGCTGTGCCCAGCCTGCTCCCAGGCATCCTCTGCTTGGTGGTCCAGCTCCCCAGCACTCTGTCCACTTGGAAACTGACAACCAGCACACAGGGAGACAGAAACGTCTGACAGGAACCTGTTCCTTGCCATTACGCCGCCTCTGACACACCAAACCTTCCCAGAAGAGCATCAAGCTGGCAATCTTATCATTTAGTGGCATTGATACAGCAATTGCAGATTTTCCCAACGCCTTCCCCTGGCTGCTTGGCTCTGCTCTCAGCCTGTTAAAGGAGGAGCAGATGCAAGGACACCACCCCAGCCTGCCTCCATGGAGCAAGCAGGGGCGGGGGGAAGGGGGAGGAAGCAGAGTCTCGTGGGTGTGGGAAAGAACATCCTTGCAGGTCCGGAGTCCGGGTCCAAAGATCTGACATTCAGGGCTGGGAATGAGAGACAGCTATTGGCCGGAAAGTCAAAAGAGATTTGGGGCCAAATCCACAGATCAGCTGGAACTCAGTGGGACATCCCTTAATCCCCGAAATTGAAGTTTAATCTCTTTAGAGTGAGGGTTTAGCCTAGTGAAGCACATAGAAGTGCCTGGGTTTGAGTCCCAGTGCTGGCTCCTGACTCCAGCTTCCTGCTACTGCAGGCTGTGGGATAGAGCAGGTGAAGGGTCAGATTAGTCAGGTCCATGCTACCTAAATAAAGCTCCTGGATCCCACTATTAAGGGCACTGGAAAGTGAATCTACTGATGGACATTCTCTCTCTGTCTCTCCCTCCCTCTCTCTCTCTCCCTCCCTCCCTCAGATTAAAAAAAAATTGTTTAAAGAAATCTAATCAATGAAACAGGTCTTATAAAGTTTGATTACTTGATGCAGCTTTAACTCCCTATCTATCCAGTTGACATGGGCTTCTTGTCGCTTCTGGTGATGAAGACACTGTCCTACCATTTTTCTGTGATAAGAAAACAGTGAGTCCTAAGCCACAACAGACACATTCACCAAGGGGTAGTCCTGAGAAAAATGCTTCTATTAATATTTAATTGGTAATAATTGATAATAAAGATGCCAAGATTACTCCATGGAGGAAAGAACACTTTCTTCACAAACAGTCCCGGGACCACTGGCTATCTTCATGCTAAAGAACAGAGTTTAGATTCTAACCTCACAGAATATGCAAAAATTAACTCAAAGTGGATCAATGATGAGCTAAATATTAGTGCCCAATTCATCAAACTCCTAGAAGAAAATACAGAAGCCAACCTTTTGATTTCATATTTTTCGACAAATTCTGAAAGATGTTGCTGTGTTGCTGAGATTGCAAGGAAAAAAAGAGAAAAAAAAAACAATGAAAAATGCTATGTCTCAAAAGACACCATCAAGAAAGGAAAAGACAATCCATGCAATGGGAGAAAATGTTTGCAAATCATGTGTTTGGTAAGACGCTTGTATGCACAGCATTTAAACAAATCTTAAATCTTAAAACAAGAAAAACTACAACTCAATCTCAAAATAGTCATGTGATTTCAAGTGGTTATTTGTCCAAAGAAATCATGCACAAAAATTTGGCATCATCACTCACTAAGAAAATACAAATGTACACTATAACCAAAACACCAGATAATAGCAAATGCTGGCAAGGATGTGGAGGAAGCAGGGTCTTCACACTTCCCTTGTGGGACTACAAAACAGTGAAGCCCTTTCATAAACAGTACAGCCATTCATGAAAATGCTAGACACAGGGTTAACATATGGCCAGAAATTCTGCTCCTGGGAAAGAGAAATAAGCAAGGATGTGTATGTAAAATGTATACATAAGAGCCAAGAAGTGGAGACAACCCCAAGATCCCACACCTGCTGAATAGAGAAATGTGGAGCAGTATCCAGCCATGAAAAAGCAGCATGCGATGAGATGGGTGAACCGTGCAAATGTCACACAGAGGCAAAAAAGCCAATCACAACAGGCCATATCTGTGTGAAATGTGCAATTAGGTCAACCTATAAGACAGAAAGGAGATCTGTGATCCCCCAGGAACGCAGGAAAGGAGCAGTACGGACTAAAGGCTAACTAATATGGGGTTTCTTTCTGAGGGACATAGATGTCCTAAAAATAGAGTGATGAGGGCTCAGTACAGTGGTTCAGCTGACTAATCCGCCCCCTTTCAGGCACCAGAATTCCATGTTGGCACTGGTCCATGTCCCAGCTGTTCCACTTCCCATCCCACTCCCTGCTTGCGCCCTGGAAGAGCAGCAGAGCATGGCCCAAAGCCTTGGGCACTTGAGCCCATGTGGGAGATCCAGGAGAAGCTCTTGGCTCCTGGCTTTGGATTGCCTCAGTTCTGGAGTTAGGGTCACTTGGGAAGTGAGCCAGTGGGCAGAAGATCTTTCTCTCTACCTCTCCTTCTTTCCATAAATCTGATCTGCCTTTCCAGTAAAAATAAATAAATCACAAAACACACACACAAACAGGAGTTAGAAAAATCTGTCAATATGCAAAAATCATTAAATTGCCTGTTGTAGCACACACTGGATTTTTACGGAGGAATTACATCTGAACAAAGGTGCAATTATGGAAAAATCGCTAATGTTTCAGAACTGTTCGCTCAGCTCTTGGGGAAAGCCCTGCTTCTCTGATGCCTCTGAAAGGCTGGATAGAGTTACAACTTTGGGTAAGCCCCAGCTGGGACTCTCAACCTGGGTCACATTTGCAGACATGTCAGGGAAACCCTGGTATCTTGAAGAAAACGATCGGGCATGTGCTTGGCATCCTACAAAGCACACAGAAGCCCCTTGTAACAAACAATTACTAAACCCCAGTGGTCAATGGTGATAGAACTAAGAAACTCTAATCTTACCATGGTGGAGATTCAGTTTTCAACACAGTCTAGCTCCAGTGATTTCTATGACAACACAGTGGAGTCTGCAGACACCAAAAAGGGTATCCCAGGGCCAGCGCCATGGCCTAGTGGCTAAAGTCCTCACCTTGAATGCGCCGGGATCCCATATGGGCTCCGGTTCTAATCCTGGCAGCTCCACTTCCCATCCAGCTACCTGCTTGTGGCCTGGGAAAGCAGTCGAGGACAGTCCAAAGCCTTGGGACCCTGCACCCGCGTGGGAGCCCCAGAAGAGCTCCAGGATCCACGCTTTGGATTGGCACAGCATCGGCCATTGTGGTCACTTGGGGAGTGAATCATTGGATGAAAGATCTTCCTCTCTGTCTCTCCTCCTCTCTGTATATCTGACTTTGTAATGAAAATAAATAAATCTTAAAAAAAAAAAAAGGGTGTCCCGAGGAAAGGGCCATCTTGCCCTGCCTCAGAGGGTCACCACTGCATCCACAGGTCCTGGCACACCCCTACCCAAACCCACTGCATCCAGAAAGCAAGCAATGATGATGGGCCCCAGCCCAATCTCGTAGGGCCTTCACCCCAGTGTATTTCAGCCAACATTAACAGCTCCAAGGCTGGCGAGCGCAGGACTCACAACAGGGAAGAGATGGCATGGGGAGAGCTTTAGTTCCCATCACCCCCAGAGACCCTTCTGGGTGCAGGTGTCACTTGGGACCTGACGACACAGCCATCTTCCCATTCACCAGCAAGGTTGGTGGATCCCAGTGGGCCTGGCTGGCAGCTGACTCAAGCCAAGGCTATCTCCTCTTGTCTCTAGGTCATGGTGGCAAAGAAGCAAACAAAGGTGCAAGCACTTGGACATATCCTCTCCTAACGTGCAGAAAATTGAAAGAGGTATTGCTCAATGGAGGAGTCATCTGGGTCAGCAGACCTCACTGTGGATTGTCCCAGAGAGCAGCACAGTAGCAAGGGATACGCTGTCGATCTTCCACCTAGCTTCTGAACCATCCCCAAGACCCGTCCCTCTGTCAGCTCCCATGACCTCCCTCCTGGCTTTGGTTCTTCTCCATCTTCCATCCCCTTCTCTCCAGGGT